GTCACAATTCACAAACTTCCTTCTAACAAAAGCAATTACCCAACCACATCTAACTTTCTCCAACCCCCTCCTCCATCACCGCCACCATTTTTCCAAGGGAAAATCGAGATATAAAAATTTAAGTTTCTAAACTTGCCGTAAAATTCATACTCGTTTTAGTCACTGAATATATAATAAAATATTTATATACATTAGAATATTTTCTAATATAAATATAGTGTCTAAATAAAGTTATTAAATTTGTCCTAATCCGGAATTAAACCCCTGTTCTTGGTTCTTGCTGCAGCAGTGTTATTAAACATTCCTCATTGGTGACGACAGCCCATAAGTTATGGATTAATAACGTAAAAAATTAAGCAACTTACCTGCTATATATATATATATATATATATATATATATATAAATAACTGTTTGGTGTGTGAACAAAGTTCCACATTGGTAGCTAAAAAGATTGAGAGTCTGCATATAAGGTGTAAGGATCTCTTAATGGTGCGGGTTTGGCCCAAAACAGACAATATCACACCATATTAAGAGTGTATTTGGACTAGTTTAGCCCGACAATAACAGATTAAGATATACTCCAGTTATAGGGAAAAGGACATAATTCTCTAAAAGTGAGAAAATAATGGTGAAACCCAAATTAATGAATGAGAAAATAATAGGGTAGATGATTCATTTACGTAAACCAGTGGCGAAGCCAGAAATATTTTCAAGGGTGTTCAAACTTAAAAGAAGTAGAAAAAAATTCCGACAAAGAGTGTTCAATATAAGTTTTATATATTTAAAATCAATATTTTACAGTATAATTTTTCGTAATTTTTTGGGGACCCTTTGCTAAAGGTGGCTTCGCCCATGACGTAAACCTAGCTATATAATTCAGAATTCAGAAGCAAATAGTGTGAATTCCATGGGCACATTCATATATACACGAGTTGTGTGTAACAGTTAAATTAAAGCCCAACTGTCAAACTATTGTTTATTTTTGTTCAATTTTTGTGGCTTCGTGTATTTTGTTTCTTCAAGAGTTGAATCTTGAACGCACTTTTTATAGACGACCAACTTTTTTCTTGTATAAGAATAGTTTATTCAATAACAAAGTTCAACTGCAAGCGACGAAGGAATTTTGTCTCCCTATTACCACCTTTTGAATTGACATGGACAAGTTTAAAAAGCGAGTCAACTTCCTCTCTTGCTACTAATTTCCTTTTGCATGAAGTAATTATCCTTTTAGGTTTATGGAAATTTTTGGAATAAAACTCGTTGGTGATTTTAGGGTTCAAATTGTTTGTAAGATCACAATAAGTTATTTTTACCTTAGGTAATTGTATTTCCAAGAAATCTTGTCGGAATTCTAGATCTGTAGACATGGTTTAATTATTATGGGTAGAACATAAATATATGTGGAATTGTGTGAGAGAAAGAAGAAGTAGAAAAGTTATATAAACAAGAGAGATGTGTATTTGTTTTAGGGATCCGTATATATATATATATATATATATATATATATATATATATATATATATATATATATATATATATATATATACACACACACATATTATATGGGTGGAAAATGAAGGAAGAGGTGGAGAGCTATGTTGCTCTGACTCTCCGAAAATGTCGCCGGATACGTGTC